CCGCTGGGTCGAAGCAACCCAACCGCTGGGTCGAAGCAACCCAACCGCTGGGTCGAAGCAACCCAACCGCTGGGTCGAAGCAACCCAACCGCTGGGTCGAAGCAACCCAACCGCTGGGTCGAAGCAACCCAACCGCTGGGTCGAAGCAACCCAACCGCTGCCGCTGGGTCGAAGCAACCCAACCGCTGGGTCGAAACAACCCAACCGCTGGGTCAAAGCAACCCAATTGCTGGGTTTGTCTCTATTTTACCCAGCACTGGGTTGTATTTAACCCAGCATTTTTTAGAGTGTATGTTATAATTATTTGAGACAATATGTAATCGTTTTTACTAAAGTACATTAATTAGCTGATGAGTTAAAAACCTTCTCCTTGATGTTTTAATGAAATAAAATTCATAGCACATTTTGAAAGTCAAGCCTTTTAAAAAAAAAAAAAAAACATCTGTCACTCGGGTTAGCTTCTAACCAACAACCTTGAGATAAAAAAGATGTATGTTTAAATTGACACGCAAATTAACTATAGATAGTATATGAAGAGATTAGTCAAACCTCAGTGTATATTACATTTCTAACAAGGTGAAACAGTCACAGTTGTTTTTCTCAGGCATAGAAACTCTCTACTTAGCAAGGGTTTGTATTTGATCCACCGTCTATTACACTCATTGTTGTGTCTAAAGCAGACTGTGTGGAGATGTTTACATCAGTGGCAAGCTTTTAAAGTTATCTCAACCTTGTCTCTCTGAGGTCCAGCACGTCTGATAGCACGGCTCAGTCTGTGGAGAGCTCTGGAGTCCGACAGCCGGCCAAGAGCAAGATACGCCGACACAACAACAGGCTGACCACGGTGTTCAACCGAAGCCCTGTTCTGCGAAACCGACGGCCAGGTCGGGACAGCAGAACCCTAGAACTGCAAGCAGCGGACGACCCCGCGGAGCTGTCCTGTCAGAGGACTATCCCAGGGATCCTCAAGATATTTGGCAGTGACATCTGCCAAGGAACCAACTACAAGAGTGTGCTGGCCACCAGTCACTCCAGTGCCAAAGAGCTGGTCAAAGAGGCTCTGGAGAGGTGAGGGATGCGCTCTTGATTCAGATTCAGATTGGAAGGGTCAGATGAGTGTGAATTAGGGTGCGTCCATGATTGGACTAGGGATCAGAACTCCAAAACCGTTGAGCTAATCCGTCATTTAGCTAAAAAAACTAAACTGCAAATAAAGTTTCAGTAATTACATTGAGGTAATTTGGTGATGTTTGGTCACACTGCTGACGTGTTTACCTGTTGTAGCATTGTGTGCTTGTGTGCACATAGAAAACACAGTCAAAACACGTTATCGAAGTGCTAAGGGCCAGTCACAACAAAGAGCGGAATGGCAACATGGCAACACATACTTATAATTAACAGAACATTATCATCCGTTGGCGTGGATGCCAATATAGATATCATTATAGTTATCTTTATAATTATCGTTCTTGGTATTAATGAGCCTTTTTTTTATGTTAATGGTTATTGATTGAGCTAAATATTTTCAGTTGGTTTCAATTCACCAGTACTTCAAACCCAAGACCAGAAATACACTTAATGCCAAGTCACTGGTCGTTTCCATTGTAGACTCGTTATTAGTCTAGCCAGTGAGGTGAAGTTCTCTTGCCTCACAGGTACTGCTTGGAAAAGGAAGACTCCAGTGCATATGTGCTCTGTGATGTGATTGGCCGAACTGGGTTGGACCACGAATGGAAGACGGAGTGCTGTCGGGTTGTCGGTGACCACGAGAAGCCCCTCATGTTGCAGTCGCTCTGGAAACCCAAGGAGGGATTCTCCAGGCGTTTCGAGATCCAGAAAAGAGCAAACGTGGAGGCGCTACGTGCCAAGAATACAGACACCGTCACCGCAGGTATTGCAGCAAATTATTTTGTGACTTGTGAATCTTTTAAGTCCTCTCCACACCAAGGATGAGAACTATAACAATATCTATAAAGTTTTAAAAATCATTCTAATTCTATGAGAATAGGGAAGTTCACACCAGAGCTGTAATGGTAGAGCCACATGATATCGTTGGAATCACATTTTTTCAGCCGATGAACGTTAAAAAACATTGACAGCCATTCAGAATCCGTCACCTTTAAAGATTTGAACTTTTAAAGTGGCAGGAGACGAAACTGGGCGTGCTTGTAATAAACAGAATGTTTTCATGCGTTGGTGTAGACCAGGGGTGGGCAAACTTGGCCCTTCCAGGCCACTTTCCTTCAGAGTTTAGCTCCAACCCTAATCAAACACACCTGAACCAGCTAATCATTGTCTTCAAGACTACTAGAAGGCTACAGGCAGGTGAGTCATATCAGGGTTGGATCAAATCTCTGCTGGAAAGTGGCCTGGAAGGGCCAAGTTTGCCCATCATTGGTGTAGACACTAATATAGTTATCGTTCTTGGTGTGAACGGCCATTAGAGATGTTTTGACTAGTTGACCTTTGATCTATGTTCCAGTTGACACAATTTAGGAATGTTTTAACAGTGTGAGGTACCTCACGGCTTATCCCAACAAAAGCCTGTCAGCAAGAAGCGTAGTGAAATTGCTCTCTCAGAAGTATGTTTTATTGGGATAGTCCTATCAGCTCTCACACTGAGCTTTCCCACCGCACTTCAGCCGCCAACATCGAAATGGCCGCTTGTTTTTCTTTCTGAGCGTGTTTCCTGCACTCTTGAGGGTGTTTTTTCTTTGGCATGGGGCTGTGGTGTTCCACAGGGTTCTCTTGAGAATCGATGACTGGGGAAGCTCGGCCCCCATCGCTGTGTGTTCTGGCAGAACAATGTAGATGACCGCCCATTTCCACAGCTGATAACGCCCAGAGTGCCGCTGGGTGTGAAAGCCTGAGCTCTGAGAACATTTCACAGCACTTCAATGCTGTCCAGTTCTGTTTATGTTACATCACCAGTGGTGGGGAAAGTTACTTTTAAAAGTACTGCATTACAATATTGCATTACTCCCTAGAAAGTAACTGATTGCGTTACTTAGTTACTTGTTATGGAAAGTAATGCGTTACATTACTTTTGCGTTACTTTTTCTCATTTGGGCTGGGCTTGCTTGTTTGTTTTTAATATAAAAAAAGTTTTATTTTTGGCAAATGCAAAAGCCCTTTCACACTAAAATTGCTTATTAGTATGGTGGAATTGGATCATTGAAGGTCAGTAGCATTGGTTATTAAAATGGGATTAAATACATAAAGGATATTTGTGCTATTTAATTATTGCAGGTTTCCATAATATTTGGAGTTTGCTTTTCACTGTTTGTAGTAATTTTGAGTAATACTGAATCTGTTTTTGTGCAAGTGAGAACTACAGTAACATCATGTTCACACAACGCCTCTGCACTTACTCCCGATTTCTCTCAACATGAGGACAGCAGAGCTGTCAGTCAATAAATGGGAAAACAAAGTAACTGGTGTTGCTTATCTGAAAAAAGTAACTCAGATATTTTCTTCTAAATTAAAAAGTAATGCATTACTTTACTAGTTACTTGAAAAAAGTAATCTGATTACTTTTAATACGCTGTAGGTCACTCCCATCCAGAGTCATCCTATAGCAGATCATCTGAACAAAATGTGGCAGATAAAATGTGGCGCGGCAAGACAAAAAACAATAAAACCCATTACAAACGAGGCATTCGTTGCATCCAGTGGGGACATAATTACGGATTATAATGACTTATACTGTCTTTTTACGCGTTGCGTTGCATCGCGCCGCGTAAACATAAAATCTGTCTGAATTTGTGATCGTAGAAATGACAAACAACAAGCGCTACTCTACACTGCCAAAAACTTGTGTTTGAATCGTCAGTGGCAAATTCTTTAAATATAAAAATCGTACTTACAGGCTGTGAGTCAGAACAGCCGGCATTGTAGTCTACTCTCCCAGGTTCAGGAAACAGTCCTCCATAAAATGTGCTGCACACATCTGAATATTTGGGTTGAACTGTTCTGGAACAGTGTTGTAAATACAACTTAACCACTGATTTCTAGTCGTGTCCTCTTTTGGAAGGCCAAACAAAGTAGTTTTGCTTTCACAACGAAACACACAGCGTCTCTACGACATGGCGGCGGCAGCAACAATACTACAGCGAGAATAAAAGTGACGCCTTCTTTCTTTGCGTGAACATTTGGGCAGCGTTATGCAAATCTTCCCACACAGTGATGTAGACATGTGGGGGCGTGTTTGAATGAATAAAGAATATCTATTTGGGTTTGAGACTAATCTTTGCAACTTTACAGATCTTCTGTATGCACAAATAGCTTTTAACACTCCAAAGACAAAGGAAAACATGAAATCGCATCATATGACCCCTTTAAGCAAATGTTGTCTATAGGTTTTTATGTGTAAATCATATATTTAAAAAAAATTGTATCACCCCAGGCCTCAATGCCCAAGCCCGAAAGCTGCAGCACGCCCGTTCGCGGGTCACCTCCCTGTATGTGGATGGGACGAATGAAGGGGTGGATGCTCTGGGTATCTGGAGGAGCTTGAGTGACATGGACGTCTCAACTATGGGAAAAGAAGCCAGTGAGACCCATAATGCACCTCTACAGGAGGATCCAGAGGCAGAGGCTGATAAAGAGGCTCACCGCCTCAATGCAGAGAAAGAGGAGACGGAAAGCAGCGATGACAACAACACGCAGTACTCCATACACCTGCCCTTTGATTTCCCATATTTCCTTCTGCTGCAAGGATACAACCACAGACAGGTAAAACAGTGGCTGTTTTGACTATGTACATCAGTGATTTACTAATCATATGGCTTTTTGAGCAGAACTTTGGGCTTTTTAAGACTTTTTTTTGGCTTTTTAAGATTCAGTAGTTTGTTGCTAATATAAAAAGGTTTTACATGTCAAGATATAAATTGTGTTTTTGTCAAATTCATCTGGATGGTGCACACTTCATGAGATGAAGACTACGTAATAGTTGTATTTGGTGTAGGTCGCCCCCTCAGTGTGTTTAGTCATGTTGAAATGACGTGACCCGTGGTGTTTCACTAAACATCCTCACGCTCACTGGCTGCTGCATCTGTAGATACGCTAGTAGCATGTAGTTTGGTGATTCGAAGAGTGAAAACTTGACAGTGAAACACACAAATGGAGACAACAGGAGACTCAGTCCCTGTTTGGCTAAAGAAGCAGAAAAAGTCTAAAGACAAAAAACAGAAACACAGGTGTGTATACATACCACAAGGGAATTTGTGATATCAGTACTTAAAGTACACATAGAACAGTGATTCTAACACTAGCTAAATGCTACTGAATGCCCCTTTTGAAGTGGATGAAAAATCTCACATTTTACATTAAAGGAAGGGCCCAAGCCATATATAGACCTTGTATTAATGGGTCAGTTTGACACATTTACATTTTTGAGTTGTTGGAAATGCTCATGATGCTTTGAAATTTTGTGACTTTTTCTCATTTAAGGGCATATACTTGCCTGCAAAGGGGTGAAACTTTAATATATTGTGGAATTTCCGTGCAAAATTTAGGCTTTATTATGGGGTTTTGTCAGTTCAACCCACGTATTTCATTGTTAAAAGCAACTGAAAACTTTATATATGTATTTGGTTTGAGGGCATTTATGCTGTCATCTGAAGAAACGTACATTGCATTGAAGGCTTACAATTTTATCAGGTTTTGCACATCCTGTTGAACAAGCTGCTTCAGTGTTATTTAATGCTTTTTTTGTTCTTTTAGCCTTGCTATCTTACTAGCATCAGTCTGAGGTGCTACACATGTATCATATAATGGTCGAACATCTCAATATTTGTCAAAATAACAAACAAGCATAGCACGATGTGATCAAATGTCCCAGACCCCAGTTAAAGACGCTTTCCTGAACCTTACATAAATCATTGGCGCATTCATCCCATGTTGGTAACAGTGCAGTAAAGGCTTGACTGAAACAGTTTTATCTGGTGAGGAGTATCCTGTCTGCTAGCCACACACTGTACTAGAGAGAGGTGGGGTTTTCTCCAGGATTGGCCCAGGTCCAGAGTGACAGGATTTGGACAGACAGGTGATCCATGTGTCTGCAGGCATCCTGGGACTGGCTGGCAGTGAGTGAGAGAGGAGCTAAACTGGAGCTCTGGTCAACACGAGGGCTGCCTGGAGCAGCTTACCTCTCACACAGGAGGAGGCGAGGTGTGTGAGAGAAATGCTAAGAACACACCTACAAGCGTTCTTAATAAACCCAGAGATCCAACAGATTTAAGACAACAGTGAAGGAAAAAGAGATCGAGGCCTGCTGATTCCATCACCCCACAACAGCTGAAATCAATTCGATTAAATCAAATCAAAACAATTCTGTAGTTCCATCCATCCATCTGTTCTCTAAACCAGTGGTTCCCAACCCTGGTCCTGGAGGCACCCCAACACTGCTCATTTTGCATGTCTCTATGACACACCAATTTCAGGTCTTGGAGTCTCTACTAATGAGCTGATGACCCGAATCAGGTGTGTTTGATTAAGGAGACATGCAAAAGTGTTGGGGTGCCTCCAGGACCAGGGTTGGGAACCACTGCTCTAAACCACTTGTCCTGTGTAGGGTTGTGGGAGATGCTGGAGGATCCAATGGATAAATGGCCAGTCCTTCACGGCAAATCAATAGTTTCCTTAAAACAAAAACAAGGGACATTCTTTCTCTTCAACAGCGACTGCAGTAGCTTCTCTAGTGTTTGAAGAACATGTTAAATGTAGCAATCTGTGTGGGAAAGCCAGGCATGTTTTCAGAGACAGGAACTGCGCTACCCTGCTATTGCTTAGTTAGTCTTGCTGAGTATGCATTGTCAAGTGTGTGTGAGTTTTTGCATGTACACACTACACTGGAAAAACCGTAACTATACAACGTAACCACAGGGAAAAAAAGAGCCATAGACATGAAACTCCATTCACAAGCCTTTTTTTTTTTTTTTAGATTTTTTCAAATATTTATAGTTGAAACTGAATATTCAATTAGAATCCATCTAGAGTTGAACTGATTGTGAAAAGTGAGTAGAATGGAGCCAGATAAATAGTTTCAGAGGTAGAGAAAGTTATTATAATTTCTTTCAAGATTATGAAGACAAATTCAAAGCACATGCATGTGGTTCTAGCAGTAAGTATATGCGTATTGTCTTGTTTAAATGCTGAACTATAATCAGCAGTTAAACTTCCAGTGCCGTGAGGACACGTGCAGCACTGCACTTTACTGTAGGTAATAATCAGCATTGTTTACTAAGCCTGCGGTGAGCCATAGCACTGACACAACTCATTCTGCCACGCACTGCTGTTTTTCTTGCTTTTGTCCATAGTCCCTCGAGCCTCTATGTTTTCGTTTTTTGCTGGAAAAGTTAGTCTTCCTGTTTCACAATGTCTACACCAGATTTCTCCCGTCCTATTATAATCTACAAAGCAGTGTATACTGGAAACTCTGAACTTTAGGAAATGTAGTAATTAAATTAAAATCTATAAACCATAATTCAATACATATGGATTAACATATTTGAATTAGAAATATTTATCTTTAAAAGTAGCATGGTACAGAAGAGGTTGTCTTTAAAAATAAAAACCTTTTGTAAGGTTTCACAAATGTACCTCAAAACTATACTTTTCGTCAAAATTATAGCTATTTATATCTATAGATTTTTATAAAAAAAAAAAGATAAAATTCAGTAGTATTAAACTCAGCCTTTGTCATGAAGGTCCTCTTTGCATAATTTTAATGTTATTTTAGCAACATTAATTCTGATAAATGTTATAGTTTAAACTTTAAATATATACATGTATAATTTTAGGTAATCACAAAAATTGTAAAGAAAATGTTTCCGATTTTTTGATTATTTTTCTATTTTAAGTAGGCCCCGATAGTAGCTAAAAACACCCCAAAAATAAAATGGTTACCACATTTAATACAAAATATTATTATATTGTTAACACCATAAGAACAGTACTCACAAATACTTCATAATCAAATGCTAATGCTAGAGATTTCAATGTGTATAATGAATATTTAACTTAACAGTGCATATCATTTTTGTATCAAGACCATGTTGACACATTTTGAGTGTTAAGCAAAGAAAAACTTTTTTTGAGAAAATGAAAGATACAGGAAGTGTCACCAAAACAAAAGGTGAATACATGTTTTACAGATGTATCCCAAAATCTCTAATCCTTGGTATATAGATCATTTTCCCCACACTGTTTGTCCCAGTACTTAACGATGAGTAAACTCACTCGAAGTTTTGTTTCAGAGTCTATTGGCCAACAGTTATGTTGTTTCGGTTAATAAAATCTCCTGGTTTTGCTGTTAATCTCTTCTCAGGACTTTCTGATCTACCTGATGAGTGGGAACAGTTGTATATTTGGCTCCTCCATTGAAACCTCCACTGGTAAGAATGAGGAGACCCTGACAGTGGACGTCCTACTCTTTGCTCCTGACATCCTACCTCAGCACTGCTGCGTACGGCGCCTTGATGCCACCAGTGACCAAACCAAGGGAAGTAGCAAGATGCAAACTATGCTCAGACCCCTCCACAGTGCATGTGTTACGCACAACGGCGTCCCCCTTGATGACGAGGTTGAGTTGTGTCCAGGGGACCTGGTGGGGCTCGGTCAGCACTATCTCTTTATGTTCAAGGACCCTACGGCCTCAGGAGCCTTTCAGACCCCATCCTGGATGGCCACGCTGTGTCCTTCTACCACAGCGTCACCCTGTAATCTGTGTGAAACATCCGTCAGGAGGAGGAGGACTCAAAAAATGGCCGCCCGCTGGAGGGACTTGGACGGCAGGGTGGTGTCGCTGTCCTATCAGGTGCAGCACGAAGATCAGGTCTTGGAGAAGATTCTCAGTATGGTGGACCCAGGAGGGGAAGAACCCAAACTTACTCCAGCCTTTCTGCTCTGTCTGTGCATTCAGCACTCCGCCACCTTCATTGAGTTGGTTCACCTCCGGAAATTGCTGCTCTCTATCGCTAATCAGATCCAGCTCACCATGTGGGTGAGTGGGAGTTTATAGAGTACAAATAGCAGCCAACAATATCATTAACAAGAAAAGCACCATGCCATTATAAGAAAGTACCTTGGAGTATACCATGGTAGTAGTCACTTAGTACTATGGTATATCAAATCTATGATGTCCATATGATGCTATTTAAAGGACAAGAGCATGTCCTGTTTGACACCCCTTTTGGCTAGCTGAAATAGGTAATTGTTGTCATCAGAGATTAAAGGTTGTGGCACACTTAAACAGATCTGCACTTCTGAGATGTTTTTTTTCCTCCACTACAGGAAAGAACAAAAGAACTCGCAGCTCTGCAGCCAGACATGTGAGAGAGCTTATATCTTTCTGCAACCATTCTTCTTTCACACGCCTCTCTGAAATATGAGCAGGGGACTTAAAGAACGGCAGTAACTAGCTCATTATCACCCATGGTGCTGTGTGTGTTCAATTCACTTTTGTTTTCTCTGTGGCGCCCAATCATGACCTGAGACAGGGCCACTTGAGCATGTCATTAACTGTTGGAAGTGTCCAGTAATAAATCTGTCTGCAGAGAGACAGCAGTGTTAAAGTGGTTCAGGCTCTGATTGTCTCGTGTTTAAATTGTAGATTTGGCTAGCAGAGAGCTGGCATTTTCTATCAGTTGGTTTTCCGCTTAGTCCACATCCTGATTTTTAATCTTTCCCTCCATATTGTGGTGAGGTATACAGATTAGTGGTTAGAATGTAAGTACTAAAGGGGGGAAAATTAACCTCAACATCTCCGCAAAAACATTGAAAAGGTTTTGCAAGCGTTTAGGTATAGAAGGTTGTGAAGCCAGTGACACCATTGCACCAAGCTAAATCAGCTTTTCTTTGTCTGATTTAGATAGTTGTTAGGATGGTTGGTTGGACTTTTAGACTGAGATGTTTGGTTGATTGGATGAATGAATGAATGAATGAATGGACAGTTGGACAGACAGATACATAAATGGTTAGTTGATGGTTAATGATTGGTTGGTTGGACAGACAAATTAGTGGATGGATGGATGGTTCGTGATTGGTTTGTTGGTTGGACAGACATGGAGACAGACTGAAAGGTTGATGAATGGATGTAGGTTGGTTAGAGAGACAAACTGATAAATGTGCAGCTGGGCGATTTGTTGGATAGACCAAATACAGTGGGGCAAAAAAGTATTTAGTCAGCCACCAATTGTGCAAGTTCTCCCACTTAAAAAGATGAGAGAGGCCTGTTTTTTCTCATTTTGTCTCTCATAGTTGAGGTATACCTATGATGAAAATTACAGGCCTCTCTCATCTTTTTAAGTGGGAGAACTTGCACAATTGGTGGCTGACTAAATACTTTTTGCCCCACTGTAAATAGGTGTATATAGACAGGCAAATGGTTGGTTAGTTGGTTGGATGGACATCATTTTTGATGGATAGACAGATAGATGGTTGTTAGAAAGAAAGATGGATAGTTTTTTGGACAAATGAATTAATAAATGGATAGAGACATGGATGGTTGGTTGGTTGTTTGGATAGATATTTAGACTTAAAGACTAGGTAGATCCGTGGTTTGTTAGACAAATTGAGAGATGTATGGTTTGTTTGGTTGGACAAGCTTATAGATAGGTGTTTAGATTATAGATAGATGGTTGTTTAGTTGGTTGGATGGACAGATATCTTGATGGATAGACTGATTGTTGGTTGGGTGGTCAGATCAAGGGATGATTGTTTAGATCAATGTTAAATTGGTTGGTTTGTTAGACAGATAAATTAATAGATGGATGTTTGGATAGACAGATACGTAAATGGCTATATGATGATATGGTGATTGGTTTGTTGGTTGGACAGACATATTAGACCGACAGACAGGTTGATTGATGGATGGCTGGTTAGATAGATGATTGGTTAGTTGGTTGGGTGGATAGAAATTTTGATGGATAGATTGCTGGATAGATTGTTGGTTAGATAGAAAGATGGTTGCTTGGTTGGTTAGACAGAGATATAATCAAAAAAGTTACAGAGGTAAATTGTTGGTTGATTGGTTGTTTTTGGCAGATATTTAGACTGACAGGCAAAAAGGTAGAAGGATGGTTGGTTAGACAAATGGATAAATGTATGGTTGGACCAGCTTATAGACAGGTGTTTATAGACAGATGTCTGGTAGGTAGGATGTACAGATATTTTGATGTATAGATGGTTAGTCAGACAGATCAAGGGATGGTTGTTTAGGTCAATGGTTGATTGGTTAGACAGGTAAATGGATGGTTCTTTAGAGATAAGGATAGTTGGTTAGACGGATGGTTGTTTGTTTGGTTGGACAAAAAAAATATATAGCTGGACAGATGGTTGGCTGGTTTGGAGAATCAATGGTTGGTTGGTCTGATAAAGAATGGATGATTGGTTTGTTGGATAGGCAGACTGAGTGATGGATGGATGGATAAATAAACTTAACACGAGTCTGTGTTTTGATAACGTCAACATTGTGCTCTCTATGCTACAGAAGCACCAGTGAAATGTCAGCAGAGCAGCAAGTGTTGAACATCAAGGATCTGATGTCAGGCCTGCAGCCGCTGGTGCTGTGGATGTCCAACTCCATTGAGCTGCTGCACTTCATCCATCATGAGGTCCCCCTTCTCTTAACGTGGAGACAGCAGGACAGACAGGAAATGGACAAAGGTACCAGCTTTCCCTCTGTGTTGTCCTAAATTACACTAAATATGTGTTAGATCACTGTGACACACGGTCTCTTCGGCTCATTGCTGTAGTTATTGGTTAATTTCAGCTTTTGGTTTCAGAACAAAAGAATGCTGGTTCTTGAGGTCTTGAGGTGTGAATGTGCAATAATATCATGTCTTCATCTGCTCAGAATCAATGGATTGTCAGATCCAGTCCACACGAGCTGCCAGCGAGGAGGCCATGACTGTCCTAGAGGAAGTCGTCATGTTCACCTTCCAGCAGTGTGTCTACTATCTCACGAAAGTAAGTACATTAAAGACCATTATGTCCATCTATTGATTAAATTATTTAAATTTTTTGTGTGGTTATGCAATATATTTAGTATATTACTACTAAAAGTATAACCTTTTAGTAATTGTTCTTGATAGGTAATGATAATATTACATTAAATATGTTCCTCATAGCCATAAAAGATGTAAAATATGTGAAACAGGACATAACTGTGTAAACACCATTCTGTGCTTCCAGTCTGTAAGCCAAAATAAAGTCATAAGGCAGTTGAGACATAGGGATTGACCATAGCTATTGGTGAGCGAGATAACTTGTCCTCTCCTCCCAAAGAATCAAAAATAAACACATTAACAGTGTATTTTCTCAAGGCTTAAGTTAATGACAAATCCCTGCCTCTCTCAGATGAGCGTGGAATGTTTTGGAACACGATGTCGACAACATTTATTTTCTTGCTGGATTTGTCTGTTGTTGTCCTTGATAAATGTCTTAAAGACATAGTTCAATCAAACTGAAATTGTCATTTTCTGTTCATTGCTATTTTCTCCATAACATAACATAAGGAGAATTGTTTAGTTTCTAATGAACTATTCCTTTAATGTTTGATAAGCCTCCTTGGGAATCTCTGAGGAAACCAGAGCTGTTATTAAAGGGGTCATATGATGCTTTTTTTAAAGATCCTTATTTTGTGTATTTGGTGTAACAGAATATGTTGACATGCTTTAATGTTCAAAAAACACATTATTTTTCAAATACTGTACATTATTGTAGGTCCTCTATCCCCCGCCTCTCTCAAACGCTTCGTTTTCTACAAAGCCCCTCCTTCCGACAAGCGCAGTCTGCTCTGATTGGCCAGCTGACCCAGTGCATTGTGATTGGCCGAACACCGCAAGCACTCGTCGGAAATGTAACGCCCCTTACCATAATCGCGAGCTTCATCTTTCAAAATAAATGTGAAGACAGAGCCCGAAAGGGGAACAGAGTCGCGTGACAGACACAGTGATGAAGCTGGTCTCTCTCTCTCTCTCTCACACACACGCATGCACGTGCGCACACACACACACGATGCGCCTTATCTATGCACAATCAGCTTGTAACACTCCAAAGAGAAAGGAAAACTTGAAATCGCATCATATGACCCCTTTAAATATCATGTAAATAATTCATATAATAAAAAACTAACTTAAAAAAACATGTCATGTTTAAATAAAAGAACCAAAGTACTTTAGTAAGTACTGAATTTACTAATACTAAAACTGAAATAACTATACTTTAATGCTAAACAGAAATATATAAAAAATTAAAAATGCACATAACATTACTAAGCTAATATTGAAATAAAAAATTACAATATTAAAATAAAAGCCAATTAAAATTATTAATAAATACTCCTGTATAATACTATACAAACAGTGCTAAAATAACACTTAAGGAAACATCATGTAAATCATTCTCTATTGCGTTATGTCAGAGTTACATCCGTTCAGCGGTGCAGAAAATCCTGCAGGTGATGAAGTCACCTTGAAATCCGGGCTAGTTGGAAACAAGAAATTCCAAATATGTGACGCATCTGTTGCAGATTAACTTTGTGGGTAAATAGTAAATGGAAAGGTTGCGTCTTTCACAGTTCAGTCGCTCCAGTCCTGTCCTATAAAACAACTGGCATATCAGGGGTTAAGAGGACTGTCAGTACAGCAGACAGGAAGGCCGTAGTTACCCATCCTCTGCCTGACGGGGAAGCAGCTGCGGACCTCCACATTTGGACTCAGAGTTCATCTGTTTCCTGAGCAGGAAATATTCTGTTCTCGTCACCAGAAAGGGAGAGGAGTGTCCAGTTAAAGCAGTCAGAATGCCTTTCAGGAAGTTCAGGAGTTTAGTTTCTGAAGCATTAGCATGTACATCTCTTTGAAGAAGCCAGACTGACAGATGTCAGACTGTGTAAGGTGATTAAAGCATACGGATCATTAAACAAAAAAAGCATAAACTGCTGTTCTATTAAAACGGATTTCAGCATAGCATTTAGATATTTCGGTTGTTTATCATTTGCTGTGAATGGTGGGATCCAGGCATCTCTTAGTCATGATAATAAGTGCTATTATGTCATGGCTGTGACATAAAGGCAAGAATGTGTCAATCAGTGATGAATCATGGGGGCGGGACCTTTGGCTCCGGTTAGTTTCTCAATGGCATCATATGGCTGAAGTGCATCGAGTGTGAAGCACTTGTTTCGGCTTCATTAACCTTTGCTGTGCCCTGACAAATTGGCAGTGTGTGTGTGTGTCATTTACACACGCATTTACCCATGTTTAAAGAATTTGCATGCACAAAATCCAGTCATTTCAATCGGAATCCATGCGATTGGCAATTTTGTGTAAGGGCGAAAAATGTCCCCATGCAGATTACGCAACAGGTTCGGATTGGTTACAGATTTGTTGCTTGGTTTGACTTTTGTGACTTCTGTGTGAGCTGTGCTTCCTAGATTTCTACACTATTGACAACAGACAATAGCCTTTTTTTTTTTGCTCACAAAATTCCGCCAAAATTTTGCAGTTGTAACCGCACCTTTACATTGAAATAAATTGTTTTATTCGCAATGGATGGTCATAATGATGGTGAGCTGTTTCATACATCACTTCACTGTTGACAATAGACAAAGAACCTTATTTTCACCAAAATTTCAGCATTTCACTCGCATTTGCGACAAAAAAAGTCCCTTTAAATTTAAGTCTTAAATATCTTAAATTGTATACAAAATGCCTTAATTATTTTAAGAGGTCTTTAATTTGGGGATTGAAGAACAGAAATTGCAAAACTGCCTAATGATATTAAACTTGAAAAGGCTATGATTTAATTAAATAAATATGAGCAATGCACATTTTAATGTAAAAATGTAGCGCTGTTGCACTTTCTACAGACTCAATGTTTCAGAGGCGTTCGCAATCAACAAAAAAATGCACATTTATGCCAATTGCTTATGATCGACTGTTGACGATTTATGGCAATGTTTACTTTATGGTGTGAATATTTTAAGACAATCGTAAGAGTGCATATTTTCATCACCCGCGTCCGTTTAAATGATCAGTCAGCATAGCAGAGACTTAAAAAGTAGAGCCTATACTTTTCAAAATAAGAATTCTAGTGTATTTCAGGCTTGCAAATAATTTTTTTGCCTGTTTATTATTGGTATTCCGCAAATGTGGCCACACCTTTAGTTTGAAATCTGATGTTTCATTTGCAGTGGATGGTCGTAATCTCTTGCCAGAACTTTTCTCTTTCCTTATTTCCTTGTGCTTAAAGAACCAACTTCCTGATGAATGCTGTATGATGATTTTGTTCCTTTATTTCAGGGTTTTGGATCAGTATGCTGTGTTTTTGTGAACTCTGTGATAAAAATACGTTCCTGCTAGTCTCTCAGCCTTGCCTGAGTTCCCGTCTGGCACAGTTTATCTGCTTGGTCTTATTTGTTTTCAGAATCCTTTTATCTGTTCCTGAGGGGCAGCAGTGGTTTAGTCATTGTGGATGTGAGATGCATCTGCTGGCTTAGTCTTATCTGAATGATACTCAGGACTCTCACTGGTGCTGTAACAATGGGCAGTCAGGGAAGAGACATTCTCCAGAGTCCAGTCACAGACACATATCACCCCACTGAGAGGAAGTCAGCCTGTGCCGTACTTCCTGTTGGCTCAGCCGCGACGTTCAGGAACTGCACACAGCACTGCTCCTGGCTACGTCCTCTGTACTGAAAGCACAAATAATGGGGCCTGTCGTGCTCTGTGCTGTGTTTTCTCTAATATTTTAGGGTTACATTTATACATTCAGAATTTACAGATTTTTGTAGTTACATATTATGTATTCAGCTAAACATTCTGGATTTATACATATAAATATATATTCTGATATTGATACATATATACTACCACACTAAAGTTTGGAGTGGTAAGATTTGTTAGAGTGCATTCAGAAATACAGTAAAACAGTAATATTGTGAAATATTATTACAATTTAAAACAATTATTTTCTATAATTCTATAATTATTTTAATTTATTTTAAAATGTAATTTATTCCTGTGATGTAAAGCTGAATTTTCAGCATCATTACCCCAGTCTTCAGTGTCACATGATCCTTCAGAAATCATTGAAATATGCTTATTTGCTGCTCAAATAACATTTCTTATTATTATCAACGTTGTGGTCCTTACTATTTTTATGGAAACTGTAATACTTAAAAAAAAAAAAAAAAAAAACCTTCAAAAGAACATTATAAATGTCAGTATTAATGTATTTCAAAGAAAAAAAGAATCATACTGATCCCAAACTTTTGAACCGTAGCATATACTGAGATTTACAACAATTCAAACTGTATTATGATTATTAATTATATACCTTTTAAATATAAAAGTATATATTTAGAATCTGGTTAAGTTTGTTTGATGATCTGAAACATTAAAGTGTGACAAACATGCAAAAAATAAGAAATCAAGAAGGGGGCCAACACTTTTTCACACCACTGTATTTTCAGATATATTTTATTTTATTTATATATATTTTAAACTATTATTATTATATATTCATATTTGAAAGTCAAGATTTTTCATATTTATATAGTCATATTTACAGTTAAATATTCAGATTTAAAAAAATATGTATTTTCTGTATCTGTATTTTTTTTATGTTAAACAAAAAAAACGTACTGCATAATTGTCATGATTTAGTAATGAATAAATGTATACATTCATGCATGTTGCAAAATAAAGGCTCCTAAAAGGGTTAGTTCACCCAAAAATGAAAATTGCCCGAGGCATCCTAGGTGTGCATGACTTTCTTCTTTCAGACGAATCCAGTCGGAGTTATATTAAAAGTTGTCTTTGATCTTTCAAGCTCTATCATTGCAGTCAGCGGGTGTTGCAGTGCATCAGTCCAAAAGAAGTTAAATAAAAAGCGCCCATGCATAGAAAAAAAGTGTCTCATACGGCTCCGGGGGGTGAACAAAGGCCTCCTGTAGTGAATCGATGCGTTTTTGTAAGAAAAATATCCATATTCAAAATGTAAGCGTAAAGTAAAACGCAGCCTAATTTTCATTTTTGGGTGAGCTAACTCTTTAAGTATATGTACTGCAGTACGTAAAGTGTAATATATGGAGAGGTTAGACAGTTTCTCTTAATAAAGCTGTTAGACAACTTTTTAGCAAGTATTTAAGCTAGCAGCATTCACATGATCAGATTCTCTACAGTATATATCATTCAAGCGACTGGAAAACACAGCAAAACAAACATATTACCCGTCTCCTCTGTTAGAGTATGTATGCTGTGCTGCCGGGACTGCTGGATAGTAACCCTTTCTCTGAGAGCGGTCAGCTGCGCATGCCTGCGGGAGTCAGCCAAATCCTGGACGTCCTGAAGGAGGCGCTGCACCTGCTCAACGCTTTCCAGGTGCACAGCGAGATCATATCTCAACTGCTGACCTACCTGTTCTTCTTCACCAACGCCTCGCTCTTCAACACGCTCATGGAGAGAGGTGAGCAGATGCACGGAAGGTCCTTCTGAGGACTTGTTTCATTAAAACAGTCTGCTAGTCTGTATAGACTAACAGTCTGCTAGAGCCGGACAAATTTATGACAAAATATTTTAGTTTGAATTGAGCTTTTGACTTTTTGTGAGACTTTTGACAATTACTGCAAAACTATAATGAATAACATGCTACCTCTTGCACTGATTGAGACTTCTGAATAAATATTGATATGGATGTTTTTAAGGGTCTGGAGGTGGCTTCTACCAGTGGTCTAGAGGAGTGCAGATCCGGGCCAATCTGGATTTGCTGATGGACTGGATTCAGAGCATTGGCATGGGAGATTTGGCTGCTGACTTCTTCCAGAGACTCTCTTCTGCCGTCAACCTGCTCGCAACTCCCAAGGAGACCCTACTGCAGGTCAGAAACCCTTTGAGCTGCTTGCACAGATGCAAATACAAGATATTTACAGATGTATTATATTAGAGATGTGCCTTTTATTCGCAGATTCCACTGCCATGCCCATGCACTCGTACACAAAAAATGTTCTGACACCACAAAAAAAAAAAAATTCCAATATCTATAACAAATGCAAACAACATTCAGTTTAATAAACCCATAGCAGGACAAAAATCCAGTGCAGTAATAGACTTATTTATTAACCAGGCTGATAAATCAAACAATATTTGTACATTTTGTAAATATGTATTTTGCACACAATATTGAAGTCTTTTTATGACCATTAAGATGAATAATGCATGCTAACATTGATTGATTGATTGATTGATTGATTGAGAATGTTGGGGAAATGTTTCATTTTCTGTAAGCAAAATATAATTTATTTTCATTTTGGGGCAAAATATGATTTCAATTATTTAAGGTGAACCTACCCAATATGGTGTTTCCCATTGTCATGGAATACCTGGAAATATCAGGGAATTTTAATGGCATGGAAATGAATACATAATGAAATTAAAATAAAAAATTCAAACAAAGTTTCTATAGTTGAAATAAATTGGTAGCACTTTACAAGAAGGTCCCATAAGGTAATGTTACTTTATGTTTGCATTAACTAACATTGACTAACAATGAGAAATTAATTTGTTACAGTATGTATGAATCTATTTTTTATGTATAATATAAAATATCGGCACCCTTGGTAAATATGATCAAAGAAGGCTGTGAAAATTAATCTGCATTGTTAATCCTTTTGATCTTTTATTAAAAAAATTCACAAAAATCTAACCTTTCATTGGATGATAAGAATTTAAAATGGGGGGGGAAATATCATTATGAAATAAATGTTTTTCTCTACACATTGGCCACAATTAACGGCACTTATTGTCAAGTTATCAATACTTTTTGAAACCTCCATTTGCCAGTTTAACAGCTCTAAATTTTCTCCTATAATGCCTAATGAGGTTAGAGAGCACCTGACAAGAGATTGGAGACCATTTCTTCATCCAGAATCACTCCAGACCCTTCAGATTCCCAGCTCCATGATGGTGCTTCTTCTCTTCAGTTCACCCCACTCAGATGCCATGTGTCTAAACAAGATGTTCAGGACCTCCAGCAGAAATATAGGCCCACAACATCAAAAATACAGCAGTATATTTCATTGTACACATGGGGTACTTTTTATCCCTGTGTTCACCAAACCCATCTTGAGTGTTTGCTACTAAAAAGCTCATTTTTTTAGTTTCATCTGACCATAGAAGCCAGTCCCATTTGAAGTTCCAGTCGTGTCTGATAACTGAATATGCTGGAGTTTGTTTTTGGATGAGCTAGAATTTTTCTTGAAACCCTCCCAATCAACATGTGGTGATGTAGGTGCTGTTTGACAAATTTATTTTAAGGTTTTCTGACCCCGAGACTCAACTATTTTCTGCAATTCTCCAGCTGTGGTCCTTGGAGAGTCTTTAGCCACTCAAACTCTCCTCCTCACCGTACATTAGGACGATATAGACACAGGTCCTCTTCCAGGCAGTTTCGTAACATTTTATGTTGATTGGAAATTCTTAATTATTGCCCTGATGGTGGAAACGGGAATTTTCACTGCTCTAGCTCTTTTCTTAAAGCCACTTTCTAATTTGTAAAGCTCAATTATCTTTTGCTGCACATCAGAAATATATTCTTTGGTTTTTCTCATTGTGATGGATGATCAAGGGAATTTGGGCTTTGTTTTCCCTCCTATTTATATTTCTGTGAAACAGGAAGCCATGGCTGGATAATTTCATGTTCATAATCACCCTGGTATGCTCAAAATTGTGAATATGAATGGGAATATACTTGTATAATGGGAGATATTTTACTCATAAGAATTTCTAGGGGTGCCAATAATTGTGTCCTACATGTATTTGAGAAAAACATTTATTTCATAATGATATTTCCCCCCATTTTAAATTCTTATCCAATGAAAGGTTAGATTTTTGTGAATTTTTAAAATAAAAGATCAAAAGGATTAACAATGCAGATTAATTTTCACAGCCTTCTTTGATCATATTTACCAAGGGTGCCAATATTTTTGGCCATGACTATATATATATATATACATTTACATTTAGTCATTTAGCAGACGCTTTTATCCTAAGCGACTTACAAATGAGGACAATGGAAGCAATCAAAAACAACAAAAGAACAATGATATTCAAGTGCTATAACAAGTCTCAGTTAGCTTAACACAGTACACGTAGCAAGGGTTTTTTAAATAATATAATAAATAAAAAGAAAACAGATAGAATAGAAAAAGAATAGAGCAAGCTAGTGTTAGAGGTCTCTTTTGCTTTTGTTAATTGTATAATAAATGAAAAGAAAACAGATAGAATACAAAAAGATTAGAAAGCAAGTGTTATTTTTTTTTTAAAGAAAACAAGCAGCAAATGAGTAGAGTGCAAGTCTAAAAGGGCCAAGTGTTTTTTTTTTAAGAATGTAATTAGAATAGAGAGTGCTAGAGTTAGAGGGTCAAATAAAGATGGAAGAGATGTGTTTTTAGCCGATTCTTGAAGATGGCTAAGGACTCAGCTGCTCGGATTGAGTTGGGCAGGTCATTCCACCAGGAGGGAACAGTTAAAAAGTCCGTAAAAGTGATTTTGTGCTTCTTTGGGATGGCACAATAAAGTGACGTTCACTTGCAGAACGCAAGTGTCTAGAAGGCACATAACTCTGAAGTAATGAATTTAGGTAAAGGGGTGCAGAGCCAATGGTGGTTTTGTAGGCAAACATCAATGCCTTGAATTTTTTGCGAGCAGCTATTGGTAGCCAATGCAAATTGATAAGCAGAGGTGTGACGTGCATTCTTTTTGGCTCATTAAAAATTAATCTTGCTGCCGCGCTCTGGATTAATTGTAAAGGTTTGATAGAACTGGCTGGAATACCTGCCAAGAGAGCATTGTAATAGTCCAGCCTGGACAGAACAAGAGCCTGAACAAGGAGTTGTGAAGCATGTTCCGAAAGAAAGGGCCTGATCTTCTTGATGTTGAATAAAGCAAATCTGCAGGAATGGACAGTTTAAGCAATGTGGTTTGAGAAAGTCAGCTGATCATCAATCATAACTCCAAGGTTTCTGGCTGTTTTTAAAGGAGTTATGGTTGATGTGCCTAACTGGATGGTGAAATTGTGATGAAATGATGGGTTTGCGGGAAACAAAAGCACTTCTGTCTTGGCAAGGTTGAGTTGAAGGTGATGGTCCTTCATCCAACAAGAAATGTCTGTTAGACAAGTTGAGATGCGAGCAACTATCGTCAGATCATCAGGATGGTATGAGAGGTAGAGTTGAGTGTCATCAGCATAGCAGTGGTATGAAAAGCCATGTTTCTGAATGACAGAACCTAGTGATGCCATGTAGACAGAGAAGAGAAGTGGTCCAAGAACTGAGCCCTGAGGCACCCCAGTAGTTAGATGTTGCGACTTGG